TAGTCAGTCAGTCAGTTAGTCAGTCAGTCAGTTAGTCAGTCAGTCAGAGAGTGAGTCAGTCCCTGAGTCAGTTGATGAATCAGTCAGGCTGTCAGTGGCAGTCTAATTTAGTTCCCTCAACTAAGTTGAAATTGTAAATTGGCCACCGTAACGATCGGGTTAAAAAGCTGACGTTTCGAGCGTTAGCCCTTCGTCAGAGCCCTTCGCTCTGATGAAGAGATAACGCTCAAAACGTCAGCTTTTAACTCGTCACGGTGACCAATTTACAGTTTCAACTTAGTTGATATGACCAAATTACCTTGTTACCCCCACCGACGCAGCACCACAGTTTCTTTATAAACTTTCACCATTTATTCATTTGTCAGCGAGAGTCGTTGAGTCAGTCGCGAGCAGTCGGTCGGACGGTAAGTTATTCGGTGAATCTGTTAGTTTATCAGTTGGTGTGTCAGTCAGTGTATCAACTACTGAACCAGTCAGTCAGTCAGTCGGTCAGTCGGTCAGTCGGTCAGTCAGTCAGTCAGTCAGTCAGTCAGTCGGTCAGTCAGTCAGTCAGTCAGTCGGTCAGTCAGTCAGTCAGTCGGTCAGTGATCTACTAATTTAGGTAGTAAGTCAGTCGTTCAGTCTTCTTGAGGTCGATAAGGCATCTATGAAGTATGTCATTCACCATGAAATAAATTTACACTCGTCCGGTCTGGATATCACTTTTACTTAGATGTTATTATTTCAATTTCTTTACAGATTAAACAAGGTGGAAACTTTACTTTTTATTTGACATGTGCTGAAAGATGTGAGCTATGGCTTGAAACAGTGAACGACTTAAACCCGAGCATGGATTTAGACCAAACTATTCTAGTGCAGTTAAAGGAGTCGACTAAAGATTGGAACAGGTACAACAGACAACTTCCTCAAAATCACGTAACACTTAAGGCTTATTGTTTCCGCACCTTACTTTGTAATCTAAAGTGAAAACGAATGAAATCGAGAGTGCATTACATAAAGAAGTTTTGATTCCTACTTTTTCTGCCTGATTCCATAGAAATGACCAAGGATTACAAAAACTAATAAATAAAAACGTTATCGCACTCTTAAGCGAGAAATTTCCTTCCTGTTAAATTCCCCAGGTTTCCTCCGGTTGCTCGACTCTAAACGATAGTTTGCAATCGCAGTTTGGCTGCTACCTAGTCTGAGAATTGAAAACCTTCGTGTCAAGCATCGTAAAACTAAAACCAATGTAATCACAGCGGACTATCAAAAAAAGGGCGGTACTTACTAGGAACTTAAAAGAATTCAACGTAGAGCGGTAAAAACTGATGCACAGAAAGACGCAAGTGCCCAAGCTGTCAATAGATTAAACATTTTATTGGTTGATTGAAAAGAGATTCAAGTTTCTTGAGTAAGCACAGAGCGAACTAAGGTTAAGAAAGGAGAAACGAAGTAAAACAAAAAACATTCCAATCCTGGATTATTCTAAGAACCAACTGAAAATTGTTTTTGGAAGAAAAGAGACTTATTTAGGTCTTCATTTTTTATTGCTCTCCAATAGCCGCCCAATCGATCAAAGCTCCGGTTTTGGGTATCTCTCTGAGTGCTATTTTTACAAAATGGAAGTTTTCATGTCAAACGATTTTTCCTCTCACGACCATTTGGCTGTCGGAGTGATGTTACCCAATGGAACAGAACAAAAACCGATGTCTGGCAACAACTTGTACTGGATGAAACCAGGTATAGCCCTGACATTAACATTTGTAACTTTGAATTCGAAAATAAATATATCTTATTACAGAAATTATGTTTTCTTTTTAATTGTACATACACGTACACGTTTTAACGAGAACTTCTGTACTCCTAGGTGTCACGTGTTTAAATAAAGGATTGATTGATTGATTGATTGATTATTATTCAATGACAACTCCATTAACATTAACTACATAAATTGGCATTTAATAGAAACATAACCAGTATTGAGCGAAATATACAAAAATCCGGCGCTCGTACCTTACAAAAGAGGGCGATCGCTCAAAGACATACTCGTAAGGGCCAAACTTTGAATAGGCTATTCTAAACACGCGCTGGGGAGTTGTGTAGGCCTGTCAACCCCCTTTTACATTGTTTACATCAGAATTTTCTTGAAGAACTTTGGTAGCAAACCATTTTCCATGATCGATTGCCGGATCAAGGGTGTGATAATTCCCGCATCTCACACAGTCTCTCATTCGCCGTACAAGATCTTTTCGTTTACCGCGTAATTTTAAGCCCCTACATTTTAACCACCGTTTTAGCCTGTCTACAGTGTATTCTTCTGGTTCTCTTCCAAATTTGGAGCCAGGAACGCCGTCCTCTTCGGTCAGAACTGTAAGGGAATAAGCGAACTACTCGCCATTTCCCTTGTAGCTCTCAAAGAAGTGGAGTTTGTTTGTCTGAGTCACGCGGGGGGTCTAAAATTTCATGACGTCATTAGTATAAAGCGCTAAAACCTGTTTAACCGTTCCTCTGGAGTACAAATACCGCGTGATATTTGTACTCTTCTTTGGCCTTATTTGTACTCTACGGAGTGTAGTTGGATAATAATTGAGTTTGTTATTTCAGTCTACTGCAGCAGATTATCTTGACGATCACGAGGGCTCCTATCCTAACAACACACTAATGCATTTCCCTCTCAACTTTCTCAGGTGAAACTACGTTAGAAATACAGCTTAGCGATCCAAGCGAGGATACTTTCACAGAAGTTGGTTCTAACTTCACTGTCACTGGTTAGTTGGTTGTTGTTTTCGCTAGCGTAATCGTTATAATCAGTTCCATTACCGACCCACGTCATTATCTTCTCCAACGGCGCAGACCTCATGTTCATGATGGCATATGAAGACATGGTTAGGTTCAAATTAAAACTGGAGTAATTTCCTGTTTAGGTTAACATTACTCTTTATAGATCACGGAGAATTTGAAACTTTCACCAAACTATTTTATAAAAGACAGCTAGGGAATATACAAAGTTTTTTTATAAATTCGTGTGCAAAAAGCTGTTTTTCTCTTCATTGGAACTTTTGTTTTCTATTTTCTTTTTGCTGTGGCCATAATGGTTTTCTTGAAGTCCTGGGCCAGGTTATTCAAAGCTGGGTGAAGGTAACCCAGGGTTAGTGTGAAATCTGATCTCAGATCTGAAAGCTTTAAATGAAAATGCAGAATAATTCTTTTTGTCTAGAATTTGATGACTGGATTCCTAAAAAGAATAGAGAAAATTATCCCGGAAAGGCTCGTGCAATAAGGAATAAAGAAACTCGATTAAAATTTAAACTTGTGCGAATGTTAATCGGCCTTCGAACAACTGAGCCCCTATTTTTATTTTCATCCATACCTATCAGGTAGTACCTATGTCAAACACCTTCATCAAGCCAAGTAATGCATTCTGACCTGTATTCTATTGTCTTCATACCTAAGGTTCTTACAAATACTGTTGTCATGGAGTTTTCTGCCCGAGTTGTAAGCTGGTTCTCCGTCTACTTGTGCTCAATGAGGAATTCCTCTTAAATTCTTCATTGTCGATGACATGCGAGGAAATCTTGTTCCAATTTAAGATTGAAGTAGGTGTTGATCCTGGGGTCTACGAAATTCTTGTAAGGAATTCAGCGATATACTTTTCTGTTATTAAGACCCTCAAATATTGAAAATTTAAATAATTTAATGTGGATTAAGATACAGAGTTACGATCGTTGACTCCAACTCTTACGTAAATTTAAACTTACAGGCCAACTACTCTCTGGTAGAGAACGATAGAGATCTGTCACCGATGGAGAAACCTCTTGCAAATGTTACTGTTGAAGGTATGATCTTCTGTAGTTCTTCAAAATAGGATACCCATATAGAAACTTCCCTTCCGTCTCCGCCGCAGGGGAAAGCTACCCGTAACTGAACGCACTCTTGTCTTTGAGATGATTAAAAATACAAAACAAAACAAAAAAAAAACACATGGAAGAGGAAGCTAGAAAACGAAAGGAAGGATGAAGATTAGAAAGGGTCAGGAAAAGCTTGAAATTATACTTTTACGCTCCCAATGATTCTACCAGATTAATAGAAACATTTCTTTTTTGCGCGTGAATTTCGGCTTTTACAGAGAGTGATGAATACATACCTGGGTCTAGCTCAACTTGGTAGGGTGGGTGAAAGGGGTCGGTGGGTCTGGTAGGGTGGGGTGGGTGAAAGTGGTCGGTGGGTCCGGTTTGATTCTGATCCTGACTATGTCCTCACGTAAGGTTTAAGAGTTGGGAGCTTAATAACCTAGTTTTAGGTCATGATCTTCTGGCTAAACATAATACTAGCTAACTGATAAGTCACAAGAATGTCTGATCTTTTTTCCCCTCTTTTTTGTTTTTGCATTTGGTTGTTTTTCGCTTTCCTTAGCCGCTGTATTGGTAAACTGTACCTCACCCAATAGCCTTTGCAACTGGACGACAAATGCAACTGAAGGGAACATAAGGAATGGAGGAGGTATTTCACGAAGGGATTGCGATTCTTTGTAGTAATTAACTGTAAAAAAAGCGTTTTTTGTTTTTTTAATAAGTGAAAACGCAGAATTCCTTTTGAAACGTTTGTCGCTAGGAAAATACTGAAAAGAAAAAGCGGAGATGAGATTGAATGGAGGGATGGTCCCAGAAAAGGCATTGGGATAGGTTATTGCTTGAAAGTTACTAGCAGACGGCCTCGAGAAAGCTGTTTTTTCCAGAGACGTCTGCAAAGCTCTTTCACTGAGAGACCGAGTGGGGGCGAAGTTTCAAATGCTAGTATTCCAAATGGTTTATACGTTTCGTAAGTATGATACAAGGGGAAATTTTTGTAATTTGCTTTGTTCTTTTTTTTTTTTAAACAGTGTTTCATTTTAGGAGTAGAAGGAATGGAGACGGAAAAAATTTTTGGCTACAAAGTACTCCATTACCATGGAAACAAGCGTATTCCAAAGTACCAACATGTCTACAGTTCAAGTATAATACTTCATCAACCAACAGGTCCTATTTCTATTTAAAAGTGTTTGTGATACGACCGAACGGGATGGAACTGCCCCTTTGGTCGATAAAAGTTGAGCAAGGAAACAAGTCGACATCCGCCCAAGTTTCTTGGGAATCAGAACAAAACATTACGGTAAAAACAATTCATTTTTTGCTGTATATTTATATGCGCTTCAACATTTGATAATTTATTGCTTTAACAAATTCAATCTAGAGCTGTAAAAAATAAGTTTGGTTTCATTATTACTTTTCATTCTCCGATATGAGGAGAACTCAAAGGTCCTTATGATCTGTTTGAATACATATTCATGAAATTTGATGAAGAAAATCTGTTTCATAATCAAGATGTTCTTTGCTGAAGGGGTTCTTTATTCTCGTGACCTTATTTTCTGATTCAGCAGTGGTTCTGTGAGCCGGAGAAATCAGATGCTAGTCTCTTTTAGAGGTTATTATATATAGTTAAGGCTAGTTTATAACTTAGATCTAGCGAGTCATTTCAAACATGTTCTTTTTTAATCAATAGATTCGGTTTGAAGGCATGGTACTCGAAAGGGGACAAATGACGATATATGATGTGATTGTAAAAACGTTGGAATGCCAGCTACAACCTATAAATGCAACAGTAGGTGCGTAATCTACAGAAAACAACATAATAATTGACTCATTTTTTGTCGTAATGTGTCATAAATTACCCTTAATTTTTTAGGCCTCTTTTTTGAAAAGGCCTTAATCGCAGCCTACTTGTGAAGATCTCTTTTTTACTGACAGGTGTCAGTGAGTGGGGTCTGGTGGGGGGATGGGTAAGGCTAGGTGGATAATAAATTTCACATTCAATTTATATTTCCATAAAATGTACGGTAGTTGTCCACCGAGATTGATCATGATAAAAGAACGGTCAATCATTTGTCTCATAAAAAAGAATCTGTTACAATAAATAATGCATCCTCGGAGACTCAGGGACTGTGAGTCCTAAATCGACTCACATCCCCTGGGTCTCTGAGGATGTAAACAATGAAGATCGAATTGTCCTAATGGCTACGGGATTAAACGCACCATGAGCAGCCAACCAACATGATCAACATGCTTCATGCAGCGACGCGCTTTCGTGCGTATACCTCCTTGTTGGACGCGCAATGTCGCAGCAGAGAATAAATCATATTTTAGGAACAAGTGACGTTTCATCCACTTCATGTAATCTGTAGAAGCACAAACAAAAACAACGTTTTACATCATTAAGTTCGTTTGCCTAAGAGATTATTAAGTGTTTAATGATTTTTGGTTTGCCCCCAAGATAACATTTCACTGTACTGTACTTGTTTTAGAAAGGACACACTGTTACCATGATTTACGACAAGTCAAGTTTTGTAATGAATGTATTGACTCTAAGAAGCTTTGTGATGGAACCAAAGACTGTGCAGATGGTAGTGATGAGTTACAGCATTGCAGTAAGTGCACATACGCGTGTCTTAAATGAAGCAGCAAAAATTACGAATCATAAGATATTCATCAAGATGTGGGTGACGTCTAAGACTTGAGTCAAACCTTCCAAATCATCCTTCGAGGTACCTTTTTGTCCCTTTTCCGCGCCCCTGCATCTTCTTACTCATGGTGTGGCTCAACTTAATTGTAGGCTGGTCGGCTCTTGTGTCCTTTCTCTACCTGTTACCAAAAATAAGGCTGCGCGACATGCATGACCTTCTGGAAGGTTCGCGAAAGGTCATGGTTTGTGTATTTTAGTACACGACGTAATCGTTCTAAAAGCGGTATATTTTGCAATGTTGCTATAATTAGATCTTTCCTAGAAAGTTCTAGAATTTTATCGCGCAAGTGTATAAGTAGGATAGGTTAGGCAAAGTTTTAACTGGTGAGTTTTCACATACGAAGAGAGTTAGTCGTGATCAGTCGTAATCAGTCAGGCGTGATTAGGCAGTGTTTGTTGAACTTGGCAGGGGCCTTGAGTATTTACAAGTTTATCGAAGTTGGCGGAGGCTGTGTGTATTTTCAAGTTAATTGAAGTTGGCGGAGGCCGTGCGTATTTTCAAGTTGATTAGAGTTGGTAGAGGCCGTGTAAATATATCTTATTAACCAAGCGCGAGGGCCGTACTGGGAGAATATCGGCCCGAGGTCTTGACAGTGCGGACCGAGCGCAGCGAGGTCTGTACAAAAAAGACCGAGGGCCGATATTCTTCCAGTACGGTCCCGAGCAAGCTTGGTTAATAAGAGATTTATTATACGACTGAAGTTCAAAGGGACACAAGTGCGGTATCATTCGGGACCATTCGGGACAGTGCCCGGTCCAATACTGAGAGAATATTGACCGGCAATAGAGCATTTTGATTGGTTGATTTTAGTTATTGGCCCTCTGACTGCCCGAGTCGTGTAATAAA